CGCACACGCATACGCATACCCGAACGATTTGTCCGTGCAGATCCTACGGTATAAAATTAAATGGTATTCGGTAGGTCTATTTCACTCGGGCAGGTAGCGGCCACCGGTAATTACTACCTACGACTTGGGAGCTCAGAGATAAAATGAAAGGCCCGGACGATTTTCGAAACCGAAATCGCGTCAGTCGTTGATGTGATGTTGCTGTTGTTGTTGCTGTTGCTGCTGCTGTTGCTGCTTCTATTCTTCTTTTTGCCAATTCTCACTCTTGTCCTTTCTTTCCTTCTGCAATTCGAAATGATCAATCGCGCCATTTGATTCGCGAACCATGATGATTGGCGAGAAAGATAAAGAGGTAATTAAAAATGTGTAATTTTCACTGCTTTATTAACATATAAAGTATGAGAGATATATATTTGCGTAATTAATTTTGGGAAGTTATTGTGCCACGCCCTGTTACAATTTTTTTCTTTGCTTGGTAACGTCTATTATTTGGGATCGTTTAATGCAAGTTGTTTAAGCAAAAGTACTTACAATTAGCTGATATAGCTAATTTTGGAAATTATTCGAAGATACATCGCTGTTTTCCAATTAACGTTAACATCTAATCATAAGATACGGATACTTTCATCGATGCGTCCCACTGCGTCGCTAGAGTCCGCAGACGGTAGCGGATTTGCAATTAAGATATTAAAGGAACACTTCTCTTCCGTGAATTTACATAATCGTAGCCAGGTAATTACGTATTTACATAATTACATATATGTGTACCGTGCGCGTTTATTTCGCTAATGAGATCGGCGATAACAATCGATTTGTACAGTTTACTTTCTGTATTTATCCACTTTTTAAACTTGTTTATTTTCGAGTTAAATGCAATGATTACCAATCACAAATCGGTATGCATCGAATTCTATATTACATTTTCGTGTAATATTTTCAATTGATTTTGAGTACTACCAATTACACTGAGATACTTAACGCAAGAAGGATTTAGCAATAAAATCATATTAATTAAAAATTGTCAGTTTATTATTTTTCCATGTATTCGTTATTATTTGGCGATTGGAAAAATTCATAACTGTAAATTTCGTACTTGTTTTTCCAGTGTGAGAAAAATCGTGCAAATGCGCCAAGACGGTTTTTTGAAAGCGGCAGTTCTGATTTTCGCAGACGCATCGCGGTTTAGCATCGGTAAATGAGTTTCCTCAGGAGAAGGCAAGAACAAAGGAAGGAGGAAGACGCATTTGAAGAGGACACGGTAGAGTCGTTCCTCAGTATGCGTTCCGCGAGCGTTTTTTTTTTCGGCCGTACGGGCGAATTATTCGTACTTTGCAAGTTTCACGAGAGTGTATATAAAAGTAGGTGCACTGAAGTATGGCTCGCTGCACCTTGGCTATGCGGAAAGGAAAGGCTCTTCTTCTCCGACGTCGGTCGGCAAACGTCGACCGACCGACCGACCGATCGACCGCGCAAGCGTGCATACACACACGTACACACAGAATGGTTAATGTCGCGACAAGTTACGAAGGTGTGCACACTGATGGTAACGGTAACACACTCTTAACGAAAATAAAATGCTTCTAAAACATTCTGTTTCATTAATTAACTAGAAATTAAACTTAGTGTTCGGAACTTAACTCTGGATCTCGTCAGACTTATTCATCAAAAGTTGAGAAAGCTTATGAAACATTTTTCATAAATGTTTTTTATTTTATCATTAAAAAAGTAAGAACGTCGCATGTAAATTAAAAAATTTATTTTTTTTTAATATAAATCATGAAAATTTATTTGGACAATGGAGTTATTACAATGTACGTATATGTGTTTAGAAAGGGATAAACTTTCGACTTAATAACCGTGAAAGCAAGCGTTACTACGAAAGACGAAAGAAATAATCGCTCTGCAAAAGGCGTGGTACTAGGATAGGAAAGCGATCGCTAATACGAGGTGTCCACTTTTATTACACCTCGGTAGTTTCGAGGAACTTCAATTATCGTTGGGTGGCGGTCAATTCCGACGATGTGAGAAAATAGATGGGATAGAGACTTTGGATATTCATAGGAGGGGGGGGGGGGGAAATTGGAAGAGTCTTTAACATAGCATCAGTAATTTCTTTTTATACATTTTTTAAATTTACAACATAAAGTAACCTAATCACTGATTATTACAATAATTACAGTAATTACATAACGTTTACATTACTAACATACCATATTGCATTATTTTATAAGTAAAATGCAAGTGTTTCTAAAATATTATCAGGAAAATTCTTGTATCACATCTTTCAATTCGGTGCTGAAATTTTGTCAGACATTCTGGTCGCGTTCATGAACAATTTTCTTGAGCATCTCCGTAAGCGCCCATCCGCGACTCCGTCGGAGAGGTTCTTCCGTGTCGGCTAACTTAAAGCATCTTCAGTTTGCTCGTCGTCCGACAATTTCTCGTCGGCACGTGAGCGGACTGTGCAAAGTTTGCGGAACGCGCGTTTGCAAACGTTCGCGCGCGTTCGCTTGCTAGCAAGAGAAAGAGAGAAAGAGCTCTATCGTTGGACCGCACAGAGGCAGGAGGTTACCGACGAAGCTGAGAAGAAGCCTCCAGAATAAGTATACTCGGCTAATAAAACGCGTACGCGCGCGTCGTTACACACAGCGTTCGCTTTCCAAACAAACGCGCGGCTCTCGTCACCGCACGCATTCGGAAACTCGTACGATGGGATTTATCGCTGTACGGACATCCGTCGTCGTAAACGAGAACCGCGACGATGATGACGACGAAGTTTGCCTCGCGACATGACTCAAAGAGAAAGAGGGAGAGAAAGAGAGAGAGGGCCCCGACTCATCTTGCATTTTCCACCATACAAAAAGCACCGAGCGATGTTAATAGACGTACTTGACGCTGCGAGAATAGTTATTACTATTGCCGAATGGGTCGGGTTAACGCGAGGATAAATCGCGATATCATTTTTACGGCGATGGAATCGCGTATACGCGAGGTCATCTTCATGAGCAACAGCTTGATCGTAAAGCACAAAACGTTCGTTTAAAATTTATTAAAACGAGCCTCCTTCCGTGCATTCCATCGCGAGCAGAATGATACACGGTGGAGCAGATTGCTTCGCAAATTGCAATATTTTGAATCGTTTCTAAATAAAGTTAAACTATTATTGCGATACGAGTTTAGCAGATACCGATTTCGTAGAAACGATAGTTGATTTACGTGCCGCTTTCCGTTTTCTTTTAACGATTTCTCTAAATTGCTCCAAGTGTACATTACTACGCATATCATTATGCGAGTCAAAAACACGAAATTACGCGGCTTGTATAATATCTTGAACGAATTTCTATACGTGCTGTGCGAACGTATTGTCAGAGCACACAAAAGATTTGATTCATTCCGTTGTATTATTTTCTCCTTCGTTTCTCCACCTTTTTTGAATCGCGATTATCATCACGCGGTCGATCGTGAAATGGTTTTCTTTTCAATTATTCTTGGATTTATCCCCGACGTCTTTTGAACCGAAGTCGCGGGAGCTCAGCACTCGACCCGTTAAAATGTCACTCGCGAGACGGGCTTATATAACATAGAGGGAAACGCGTTATGGAAAGCAAAGGCCAGCAGACGATCCTTTGCGCTTTCTACCTCCGATCTTACTCTTACGATAATTATGTATGCATGTATACGTACACATGTGCGCGCGCGCGCACACACATACACACACACACACACACACACACACGTCATATATTGAATATATCCCTACATGCACGCTTGAGATTCTATACTCCTTATAGCTCTTTAAGTGAATTAAACTAAAATAAAATGATTTTCTCGAGAAAGCAGATTTGTATAGGATATCGTTACCACATTAATTTCTAAAAGTATATTTCTAATCGATTCTAAATAAAATTAACCCTCCGTTGATAATTTAAAATTTTCATATCTTCATATCATTAAGTTGGATTTCCGAGCTTTAGCAGATATTTATATTATTCTGGACTGTATAAAAATCTGAAAAAATTCTCATTTACTCGTGAAAGCTGTAACAAGTTTTTATTATTATAGAAGTTGCATTATATTATTTATTTATTTTTTAGATTTATCTAGAATTTACAGACAAAAAATCGACTGTGCCTTTAAAGTCTAACATTCCTGGCGGAGAGTTAAAGAAAGGAAATTAAGATAGAACAAACTTTCAATATATTATATTTAGTTTTTATTGATACGTCTTGATATACACAACAAAACATATATTTATACATTTGCCATTCCGATCACTATCTATTAAACTGCTTGTATATTATTGTCCGAATTTTCATATAAGGAATTTAGATTTCCAAGAGTGAGAAAAAAATAATCATTCACTATACGTATATGTAGAATGTATGATGCGTATCGCGCGTAACGGCACGCACTATCATGGCGAGCTCGAAAATTGCCTGGCCGTGATTGCAGTTTCGAAACTGCTCAATTTCTTTTCCGAGATTGGCCCGAAGCTGCTGCTGCTGCATTCGGTACATTCGCCTGAGGCCTCTCTCTCCTCTCTCTTTCTCCTGCGAGATATACTAACATAAGATTTCCGTTTCCACGATACGCAATAATGGACAGTAACCCGAGGCCTTTTCAGGTTCCCGCGCTTGGCGCAAAAGCGGGAACCGAATTTTATAAAAAAGTCTTTCATAATACTACAAGGAGCTCCTGATTTTTTCCTCTGTCTTACCGTTCATTTTCTGCAAATTTCGAAACAATTTACGAAACAAATTTCTAACAAGTTAGTGAGAAACAAGTAATTCCACATTTAACAAGTCGTTGTACAACTCTTATATATATATGTATAACATCTAACGATAAGAACAAGTTTTATCTAAATTGGCAACATTCAATGTAATATGGTGTTATCACGATAATAATTAATAATACATTGAGAATGATATCGCAATGCGAAATGTGGTCGAACAATAAATTAAATTAATTCTAAAGACCGTTTCTGTTTGCTGCTGCAGGCGACAACTGCGAGCGGATACTTCGAGGTGCAGATCCTCTCGCTGACGAACAACAGGGGCACTCTGGTGGACGGTAGATGTTGCGGCGGAGGAAGCGGGGGCGGAAAAGGAGAATTCCCACCCTGTACGACGCCCTGCTCGACAGCCTTCTGGCTCTGTCTCAAGGAATACCAGTCGAACGTCACTGCCATCGGCTCCTGTAGTTTCGGCAATGTATCTAGTCACGCCCTCGGCCCAAACACTTTCACCCTCTCCGACCCCGTCACTCTACAACTCCACTTCACCTTTCGATGGACGGTGAGTTGCTACTTTGTACTAATCTGATTTTGAATTTATATTTTTTAAGTAACAATGATTGTTATTCACATTTTTCTGTGATGGTGTAACATAAACACTGTACAATATTATGTGTTAAAAAGATTTCCTATTTATAACGTTCACTAATGTTATTTATTTAATACGGATTCAATGTTGACAAATGAGAGTCAGACGATTACATTTAACTAAGAAAGGCACTCTGAAAGTCACTCGAATGGCGAAACACGGGCGCAGTATCATCTAATATCCGTGAGAACGCATACGTCGGCTGAAAATCCTAACCGGTCGTCGTTACACCGCGTACGCACGAGGCGACGAGACTTAATTCGATGTCCCGCGATTAATGACGGCGTACGGTGTACATATACGGGACCATAATTTTGTTTGGTTACCGGCACAATGACGTCGCGCCGAAAGATAGACGTGCGAGAGGATGAAGTCGTAACGAGGGGACGACATATTCGGGCTTACGAATTGACCGCCACGGATCATTTATCATCGACGCCGTGACACGACGCCGACGGAGAACGGCGGCGTCTCATTAGCGACGCCGCCTCCGGGGGCCGACATTGTAAATATGTATGGATGTACCGGTGACTACCTTCTTTTCTCTTTCGAGCTCCCACTCTCGAAATCGCCGAAAGCTGGCCGAGTGTGAATTGTAGCGAACGGCACCGTTCTTTCGCAACGTATAGGTATAGGTATAGGTAAGGCTAACGACCAGCAGCGAGTAGCAATCGTGCGCTTATAATTCGCATTAATATCGCCGGTCGGATGAATCGCAAATTTCTAGCCTTGATTTCCTTTGTCTACTATACGGTAAGGCGAGAAGACGCGAAAGAGATTATCGAATTCGCACGAGGAATTTCCGGTCCGCTGGTCTCTCATCCGCGCGAGTCGTTGCGTAGAATTCCAGTTTGGTTCCAGTCGCTTGGTAACTCCTCATCGTCAGTTTCTTCATCTCTCCCGCTGCGTTCCTCTTTCTCACCCCACGCTCTTGGTGAACTCTCGTGGCGAAATTTTTACGATCGTTCACCCACGTTGAATTTACCTTGCCGTTTTTTCTACAGTTATGAATCAGTTTGCTCCACTGTGAACAGCCGTTTCACATATAAACTTTGTACATTTGAAAATCACGAATTTGAACTATGAGTTGTTGTACTAATCGTAATTCGTTTCTCACATTTTTTACAAGATAATTGTTTTAAAAAATTTTTTGTATTTAAAAAATAATGATGGAAAACGTAAAAACTACGACTCGAAAAATAACATTTAAAATAATACTCGCTTAAAAAATATCATTAATACTTTATTAGGGAGTTTTTGCAATATCGTTTATCCAGATACGGTGAACGCTAAGGTCAGATTATCTTCTTCTTAACAATTAATTAAGAAAAGGACTTTACTAAAAGGACTAACGTGACTTTAGCGTTCATCGTATCTGTATTCACGTTATTGCAAAAACTTCCTATTGTTACAATTAACGCAAAATGATTATGATATAGATATATTATCGTGCGTTGCATTAGAAAATTTTATCTTTCTCGGAAGCCAAAAGAGTCATCTTGTCGGTACCCAATTAGTAGCACACCACCTACGACCAGACCGCCGTTGTTGTCTAACGTAATTATGGCATAATGTACGAGCGATTTCGAGAATGCCCAAACAGTCCTCTCAAGAGACGTTGGAGTGCGCAGGCAGGCATGCCCTCACAGGACTGTCGAGAGTGCCTCCTTCAGACAACGATGGGTTCGGTGGGTGCCTGACGGGTCCTGAAGGGCACTGCATTCGAAAAAAACGCACCCGTGTACCTACCTACACGCGTCCGTGTCGTCGTGAGTTGTTTGAAGAGCGCCAGTCCTTCTGTTTATATATTTCATAACTCGCTCACGGGTATCTTTCAACGAGAGGACCCATCGCGCGACAAAGGGACTCTACGAGGTCCCGTTCTTTCTACTTTTTCCCTTCTCTTTCCTCTCTTCTTGAAGAACCACTGTGCGAGCGATATAAACAGAAACCCTTAAATTGCTTCCCTTTCATGAAGGATTCTTTCTCTCAATTTCCGACGCGTTACCTTCGATCATTTAGCGCTTCACCGGTCTAATTCAATTATGAAGTCGCTGCTGCGTAATAAAGAAAAAAAAATATGTAGAAAGCATACAGGTACGAGAGAATGTGGGTATGTTTGCGCATAACGAAATACGTCAAAATAAGGGGAGGAGAATAAGAGGCGCGGAGATAAAAGCCCGGATGCCTCGGTATCTCGCGTATTCCTGTCGTGTAATAGCTATAGAACGGTTTTCATGTGGTATACTCACCATGGAAAACGGTAAATCGCCTGACTTTCATCGTCCTTCCGCGGATAATGCCATCATTATCGTCTTCGCTGATTGAATACGGTATATATAATCTCGTCCTCTCGACTAGGAGCCGAGACACGAGTGAGCGGCGAACACTCGCGCAGGCTACCGAAAGCCACCTGCGCTTAGCGAAGCTGACTTTGAGAGAGTATTCAAGAGTCCCCTTCTCGCCAATATAAATCTTATGATTCTCATCAGTGTTGAACGAGCCGCAGGTGCCTTGATCGCACGTTCATTCGCGAAGATTTTCAATCTAAATCTATCGTTCGTGTCTCGTTTGAAATCGAAAAATAATTTGAGAACGATTTCTCCGCTTTATGCAAATAACTAGTTGCGTGTACGTGCGAAAATTGTAATTGGGATTTGGAATTTCGTATATGTATGCGAAACTCATCACAGTAAAATAATTGGATCGTTGAGTCTAATACATAGAGAAACATGGTATAATGTTAGACTTAGTTACTAATATTTCTAGGTACCAGACGTCTATGCATCTATATATACATATATACTTGTGTAACTGTTGATAAATTATATATGCGGATATCGCCGGCAAATCGCAAGAGTTTTCTAATAGCGACCTAGTTTACGTGCGAACGTGATGCGGTCGCGATAGCAACGTCAAATGTTGTGATCGTAGTCGTCGTTGTCGTCGTTGATTTTTCCTACTTCTAATTTCAATACCGATGTAAGGAATATTGGACAGGGTAAGCATCTCTCTCTCTCTCTCTCTCTCTCTCTCTCTCTCTCTCTCTACAGCAGTCGCATAATGGTGCGGGAAGCGATCGGCGAGATGAGAGTATACAGCCGAGCTTTTGCACAATCCACCTCGGAGCTATATGCATCTTCGACCTAAGTGTGTTCCATGTCTCCTTTCTCCAACCATATGCATCTCCTTTTCGTGATTCGATCTCTCTCTCTCTCTCTCTCTTTCGTTCTTTTCATCCTTACACAAATCGTTCTCCCATCCTCTCTCTCTCCGACTTATCCTCGTTCTCCATAATTTCTTCTTGTCGTTCGACCGTTGCCAATGTGACTCTATATGAAGTCAATTATACGATTCACATGTGATGGTACGCGACCTGTTCATGCGTTTTGTATGCATCGGCACGTACGACTGACCGGTGTGTTGAACGCAACGGAACATATACAGACCTACGCGTACAATGTCTTTAATCTGGGCGCCACTATGAATGGTAAAACGTCACGAGACGCCGCTGGATCCACGTGGACGCTGCTGCAGTGTCTTTGTTCTTCAAGAATTACGTGCATCCAATTGCTTAAAATGGTTTAGCGATTGTAAATCTGTAATACATAATAATCGTCGTAAAGTTTCGACTAAAATAAAGATTTTAGTTATGAAAATTGTTTTTTAAGTGTGGCATTGGCGCACAGTTATGTGAAACACAAAAGAGAAAGAGTCTCATCGAATTGAATTGGAAACCGTGTCTGTGGCACGTTTAATCTCCTTTCCCCAGACACGTGATTAATTCCGACAATCGTAGTTTCGATAATGGACGTATAATGATAAACGATGTTCGGCCGAGCGGCATTCATCACGTAAGAGGCGGCGACCGGCAGCGGGAATGAAGGGGCGCTGAGCGGGGAACGAAAATGAAGGAGCCCGTTCAAAGACGCGTCGTGGAACGCCACGGGGATCGAACGACGTGAGTCAGGGGTCTAACAGGTGTACATCCGCGTCTCGAAAGTGAGCCCTGCGGCCTTATAAGCGTTTTCCATTCCCGCCAATATCTTTGTTGCCCTTTTAATCTATCGCGTGTCCCAAAATTATGAGCAAAATGTGAAATCAATTCTCTTTTATTCCGTTTTTCATCGTTGTATAATGTATAGTTGAACTCTAAAATGTATACCTAAAAAAATTATCTCTTTTTGCTTTTTGAATATATGATTCTTCTAAATTTATTGAAATAAATCTTTGAATTAATTATTTCTTATTTTTATAAGAAAAGTTTTATAACAAAAAAACGAAAATTGAAAATAGTTCTGCTAGATATTAAACATAATCATGTAATGACTATGATCTCTTTATAAGAGGACGAGGGACTTTTAGTGTTTTATTTTGTTTAATGTTGCTCGCAGAATATCGCCAGCTACTCCATGCAACCGCTGGTCACACCGTGTACTTAATAGCGTCATGAATAAACTGCGCTAAGCCCGCAAGCGGCACCTACGGTTGTTCAAATATATTAGTGCCGTTAATACGCGACGCTAACGCGAATAATGAATAACGCTCGCGGGATTTACATTGCGCGATCGTTCGCGTCGCGCATCCCTGCGCGTCGCCGAACCTTTTTCTAATCACACGTAAATTGCACCATTTCGAATGCGGAAGCATAAGCGATTTGTTAAAACTTCCGTGCAAACCGGTCTTCAGGGGGAGAGACTGGCGATCCGAAATTGCTCTCTTTGCGCCGATCGCCCGCAGGGGTTACAATCACGGCTAGCCGCATCGGACCCGTCATCGAGATTTACGTTCGCGCGAATTAAAGATTTCCTGATTGCCAGTTCCCGACCGATTGGCTTCTGGCGAAGACAATCTCTCAACGAAAACCAGCGGTTGCAACGACACAACACATACTCGCGATATTCCCACGCCAG